GAAAAAAAAAAACATTATTAAATTAATTTACGATAAACAAAAAGGCAACAATAAATTGAACTCCCTCAAAATTCTCTCTCCCCTAGATTCTGCATACCATTTCCTCCGCTCAATATGTTCAATGCTAAAAAAGAAAGACAATGTGTGGCAAAGAAACTTGTTCAGAAATGATTTCTTACTGATCAGTCAAATAAAGTTGTCAAATGTGTTGAGGAAATTTGTGTGATGCAACTCTGAAGAAAACATGTACGGCATGCCATTACTCTCATTGTGTTACAGAAAATCTCCTTCTCTCTAACTCTCTTCAAGTGTCCCTAATCCTAATTCTCTTGCTCACCCTTTCTCCCATTCCCCATTATCACCACCTTAGCCAAATATTAAAAATTCTAACAAGGAGAATCTGTAGCTTGAAACTCACTTCACCGTCCATAATCTTTCTCGTTGTAGCTAATTTGGTGATGAAACAACATTTCTGCGTGATGATTTAGAAGAAAAACAAGAATGACGATACGCAACAAAGGAGGTGAGTCTCAAACTCGAACATGCTCTTATTTTAGCTAATTTATGACTCTACTCATTATTTTTTATAAACAACTGTTTTTCTCACTTCAATTTATTTCTGCATAGTTTAATTTTATACATTCGATGTGTTTGATAAAATTAACAAATATGCCAGTTATGTTTATTTTCTTTTATAAAAAATAGATAAATTAGTTAAAAGTTAGAAAGATAGTTAGAACGTAAAAGCTGATAACTAATTAGATTAAATTATTTATCAAAGTAACTGTTAAGCTAATTAATAAATATAAAATGATGTAAAAAAATATATATTACGATAAAATAGTAAGGATGAAAATGAAAATAATAAGTTTAAAACTTATCAACACAAACATTACATGTATATTAAACAACAATGTTAAAATACTATTGAGTTAATAAAATAAGTTTTTTTTATCAAAAATATTTAATTTAGTTAATTTAATTTTTAAACTAGTTAATTAAGTTAGTAGTTAATTTGAAAGCCTTGCTAAACTTGTTGACTATCAATGTCAACGAGTTTAGTATTGTCATACATTGATGCGTTATCATGTTATTAGAAAACAAAAACTCGTTTTTATGATTTTTTTAAATTATCAATAACAAATTATTAAATATTACTTCTTTTTTTTTACTCTTTTTAATGTTATAGAAAATATTTACTTAAAATACTAATTTAGTGGATAAGATCTAGACTCCTCAAATGATAATTTCTCTTTAATTAATAACCACGAATCCTTATATTCTAGAAATGGATTAGGTTCCTTTTTACTCTTTATAAATCTCACAATGACTCAATTTAAGTAAACTGTTGGAGAAGTATTTTTTTAAAATATAAAAATAATAAAATTTATTTCATAAATTAGAAATAATTTATTTTATCAAATTTTAGAAAAGTTATATGAGAAAATTTCTTGAGAAATTAAAAAAAAATAAATTGTTTCTAAGTTATAAAAAATATTTTATTCACTTTTTATATTATTTTTTATATATAAAAACTTCTTTAAAAATTTACTTTTCAATGTGCGTGTATTAATTAAATCATTTTTATGTTCAATATAATTTTAAGGTTTAACATTTAACTAAACTATCGTTCATTATTTACAATATTCTAAAAACAAATTCAAATTAGTTTTCAAAATGCAGTCTGGTGACAAAATATACCATAAACATAGTATTTCAAATTCTACTGCTAACATCTCATCGATGCGATGATGACAAGTGCCTGAGGATATTCCAAGTAATAATTAATGTCTATTCACAGGGAGCTCTCACGCACACTTGAAAACATTTGGAGAAGTAAATGCAAAATTCATTTGAATTTAGTAAAGTGATTAATAATTTTTTAACTTAATTTAATAATTTTAATGATAAAACTTATAAGACTATTGAGAATTTATTTTAGTAAGTTTTATAATTATTTTAATATAAAGTCTTATGCAAAAAAATTATTAAACAATTATTTAAGTTATTTTTGTATTATTGCTGGTTTAAAGAAGATAAAAAAAATAAAAAAAATCCCAAAGACACTTAAGAGGTACCGTTAAATCACCGAAAACATTATACCTCGTGAGATTACTGGGGTTTTCACATCCATAGTATATCTATATGGTAATGTCAATGGCATAGACTTAATTAATGAATCTAGGTTTTGTAGTACCAATACTTTTACAATTTTCTTTGTAAAAAGGTGTTTTAGAAAATAAGTAATTTATATTAAGAGTTAGAATGTTAGGTATTAAAATTGAAAAGCAATTAAGAAAACAAGAAAAGAAAGTCTCTATCAAGGGGACGGAGGGGACCTCTAAAAAGAAAACTGAAAAAAGGTAAATATTTATTTCTTCTCAATGCACTTTTTCTATTTTATACAGCTTATTCTTCTATCAATTTTTATATTAGAACTCGTTTGTTTAAGATTTTTTTAATGAAAAAATCATTTCAAAAAAAATTAATTTTTTTATTTTTTAAAATTATTTTATTAAGATTATAAACATATCAGAAACTGAAAATAAATTGATTTTAGTTTTTTAGAGAAGTTTCTTTAGAGAATAACTTCTAAAAAACTAAAATTTATAACTACCCGTTAAAATAAAAAGTACCTTTTACAATTGTAACTAAAAAATAATAATTTCTGATATTTATAATTTAATATATATATATATATATATATATATATATATTCTAAAAATCACGTTTTAAAAAAGCTAGGCCTTTAATCTAAGTTATCATTATTAAATAAAAGTACTCTAGAAGTGAAATAAAAATATTTTGAGAAGTTATTTTTCTTCTTATTGTTATGTTATGTGGCTTTTGTTATATTAAACATTTATTTTTTATATTTTTAAAATTTAATGTTTAATATACTGTGTTAAATGAATATAACATTATGAAATTAATCTTCAAGTCGAAAGGAATAGTTAGGTACAATACCTCCCTAGCATCCAACCTTTAGATAAATTCAATTAAAATCACATTTTACTTTCATTATGACTAATCAATGTTGTGTAGAGTAGTTATAGTTGAAGTTTGAGAATGAATTTCTTCTATTTTTCCTTAAACTAAAATTTTAAGCTTGAATGTAATGTTTACACAAACTATTAAAATTCCTATATATATATATATTTGTCAAACGAGTAAAATTTTGAGATAATTAATTAATTTATGACATAAGATACCTCATTAATTAATTTGCATTGTTGAGTTTATCAAGAATCCAATGTCAATGTTAAAATATAATTTATTTTTTAATATTTTGACACGTTGCTTTGGAAATTTTCCTTTTGCTTACGTGAATTTCATTAACACATTTCAAGACTCATGGTAGTATTTTACATCTTTTATTATTAAATATATTACTTCAAATTCTCTTTAGTACTAACTTTGGGTGATTTTCTTTCATTCACCTTCCTCTCTCTTTCGATATTCTTTTATTCATCAACATATCTTGAGACTCATGATAGTTTTCGACATCTTTTATTATTAGATATATTACTTCAATTGCTCTTTAGTAATATCTTTATCATGCACATATTGAAATTAAATTAATTAGTTATTCCTGTAGATTTTGAAGTTTAGGAAAAACAACTATAGCACTCATTTGGGTAATTCTTATTTATTGCATGTCTTGCTTTAGGTCAATTCGATCTGATTCTACTTAAAAACAATTTTAATTGGAACAGCAAGTCATTAAGCATATTTAGACTTATGAAAAGGTTTGGTCTATAAGTTGACCCAATAAAAATTAAAACTAAAAAAGGAAAAATTATAACTCATTTTAATCCATCTCGCAAACATCTTTAATGATAAATGCCATTATTTTGTTGTTTGTGAGTAATTACTATTTAAAATTACTAGTGTTTATTATCTAACAAAATGTCTCTTACGAAAAGTAGTAGGGATGAAAGTTAAAATTTAACATTTACTCATTGAAGTATGCTTATTAACTATTGAGTTTTCGGGTATATTGGGAAAAGGGATAAAAGAAAGTAAAAAATTGAAGAGCTGAGTAATCCAATAAAACAATTGGTACATAAAATGTTTAGAGCGTGGGAATAATCTTTTATTTCAAAGTCAAACAATCCATCCATCTTAATAAATATTTGAAAATCTTTAACAAATTGTTTAGTTATCTACCTATGAGAACCTTTAAGTTTCAATTTAATCATCGATAAATAACTTTATCAATAGATCTAAAAATTAAGGTTTAAATATTTGTAAAATATATTTAGTTTTAATTATTTTAAAAAATATTAGTTTTAATTTTCATGATTTTAATTTTTTTAAAAGCAATTATTGTTGTTATTAATATGATTTGATATCCATTTAAGAACTTTGCATCAGCAACTATTTTAATGTACCAAATGGTATGACATGTATAAAAGAATAAAACTAACAAATTTATCTAAAAGATTTGAATAAAATTTTGCGATCTTTTAAGCATATATTTTATTAAAAAAAATAATGTTGTATGTGATATTATATATGCTTATTTTTATCGAAGAATTAATGTTATATATGCTTACACACATGACACATCCAAAAGAAAAATGCAAAACTAAAAAAACTTTTGAATATTCAATTTAATTGTTCATAAAACATTTTCCATCGTAGAAAAAGGCTTAACGTGTGAGCTAACTGCCACTAGAATACTTTAAAAACAATGGGGAAGTCCAAAAGAAGCTAACACATACAACGTATACTACTTATGGAATTTTCATTTCTAAACTTGATAATTTTTATTTGTTTACTGCATTTCTCTTTTGCACTTTAGTTTGATAACATAGGATTTTGTTTTGCGTTGCTGGTTGGGCAGGGTGTAGATTAATGGGGTAGACTAAGTAAAGGCAACATTGCTCAAACCAAAAGAGTAGCTATATCATATCCACAGCACATTCATTTCCAATATTTTAGTTCTCAAAATGGACCCTAGTACTAGTAACAGCCCCACGCACTCCGATTTCGAAGAAACAACAATGGACGAAGAAACAACCATGGAAGTGCACCGAGTTGTCCCACCACCCCACAAGAGCAACCTACATAAATTCAGGGCCAAGTTTAAGGAAACATTTTTCCCTGAAGATCCTCTGCGCCAATTTAAGGGACAACCTCCTAAGAAAAAACTAATCCTCGGAGCACAATATTTGTTCCCTGTGGTTCAATGGCTTCCTACTTACAGCTTCAAACTCTTTAAATCTGACCTTATTTCTGGTTTCACCATTGCTAGCTTAGCCATCCCTCAGGTCAGTCATCATGTTCACGGTTCTTACATTTTACAATTTTTTATTTTTATTTTTTGTTTTACCTTTTCTTTTTTATAAGTTTAGTCTTTATGTTTGTTTAATTTAGGCATGTTAGTCCTTTTCATTAATATAGTCGCACAAATAATTGATATTTGACATTTTTTTAATTAATCACATCTTATAATTATTTGAGATCAAAAGTGTTGATTCAAAAAATTGGAGACCAATAAAACAAAAATGTTTAGAAAGACTAAAACTAAAATATTATAAAAATTAAAAACACATTTCGTTTCTAAATCATGAAAATGATTAATGCCCATCTCCACTCGTTTCTTCTTCAATAATGTATTTTGTGATTCAGGGAATCAGTTATGCCAAGCTTGCAAGTCTTCCTCCAATTGTGGGACTCTGTGAGTATGTTGCTTTTGCCTGCAGGGTGGGCTGTGCTTATTTTTAGTTCACAAATCACAGCCCATGCTAATTCATGATATTCTTCCTGTTTTTGGGGTATGTTTCAGATTCTAGTTTTGTTCCCCCACTTGTGTATGTTGTTCTTGGAAGTTCAAGGGATCTTGCTGTGGGACCTGTTTCTATTGCTTCTCTTGTGTTGGGATCCATGCTCACACAGGAAGTGTCTCCCACTGCCGAGCCTGATTTGTTTCTTAAGTTAGCTTTTACTTCAACATTCTTTGCTGGTCTCTTTCAAGCTGCTCTAGGGATTCTAAGGTAATCACTTCTTTTATTTGCATTTTCCTTTTTTCATTTGGTAAGTAAAAAAAGAAAAAACAACTCTAATACGTTGTTTAAATATATTCTCTAATATATTTTTTTAATTGATCTATTTCGTAAAAATTAAAACCCGTATCTTATAGAATTAATAATTTATATTACGAGATAAAGTATATCTTTGAAGATACATTGAAAAGACGATAAATATAAATCAAAAGAAAAATCTGTTACTGAAAGTGTTGAAATCTTATAAGTACACAAATTCAAACATACTAAAAGTCTCAAATGATTGCAGGTTAGGATTCATCATTGATTTTCTATCCAAGGCAATTCTTCTTGGATTCATGGCTGGAGCTGCTGTAATTGTGGCTCTGCAACAGCTCAAGAGCCTCTTTGGCATCACAAATTTCACTAAAAAGATGGCCATAATTCCTGTTATGAGTTCTGTTTTTCATAATATAGACGAGGTTGTTCCTTAATTTTTATTCCCTTACATGTTTATCTAAATATAGTGTCTACTATATTAAAAAATTTATGTGTTTTTAATTTACAGTGGTCATGGCAAACAATACTGATGGGGATGTGCTTCTTGGTGTTACTAATGGTAGCAAGACACATTGTACGTTTATTTATTTTAAATTTTTGAACGTTATTTCTTCGATTACTTATGCTTGAAAGTATTCAAAGTTTTTATTAATTTAATTTTAATATTTTTGTTAACATAAAAATTTATTGCATATATACTAAATAATATGATGTTAAATTATTTAATATATTATATGATTATAATAAAATTAGATTTATTGAATCAGATATTTAAGTAAGACTAACTGTGTGTTTAGATGATATGAAATTTGAGGGAGAAAAGAAAGGAGAGATCTTGAATTTGGATAGAAGAGTGGGGAAGAGATTTTGTACTTTATAGGAAAGTGAACAGTGAATGAGAGGAGTAGGGGACTAGCAAAGTTTTTTTTTTTTTTAATTATTATTTAAAAATAATAAAATAATATAAAAATAAAAATATTAATTTTTTAATGAATATTTTTAATATAATCTAATTATTTATTTTTAGTATTTTTACTCATCCAAATAAGTGATTTTTTATTATTCTTTTCTCTTTTATTTCAATCCATCTAAATATTAAATATTTTTACTTTATTTTTATTATATTTCATATTCTCTTTTTTTTTTTCTCTTTATTTCACTTTTTATCCAAACAAGACATAAATATTAATATAAAATAATTCACATTAACAATTCAATAAATTGAATTACTTTTATTATTTTTTTACCATTTTTTATTTTATCAGTCACATTATTTTAAAAATATTAGTTATTAATATTTATTTAAAAAAGTGAGACATGATAGAATATTTTAGTCTTGGCGGGAGACGTCGATTTTCATTTGAAAATATAAAATAAATATATTTTTATATCTTGTTTATTAGAATTTAATTTTAAATAATTTATAATATATTTCTTTGTATTTATCTAATCATATTGTCATTAAGAATTATTTTTAATAATTAATACAAAAATCATATAAATGATATATTTTAATTAATTAATAATGTACAAATTTACAATGTTAATATACCAAAATTAAACTCTACTTCAATATATTTTACAATTTTTTATTAATAAATAAGAAAAGAGATTTTTTTTATATTTTATTTATAAATAGAAAAAATAAGTGAAATTAGCTCAAAGCCCAAAACTAAGCACAACTAACCACCTAATATGGGATTACAAATACCTAAAGAGTCGACACTAAGAAAATGAACTAAAGAAGAAGGACTCTTATCTAAATAAAAAATATTTAAGATAGCCTTAAGGCCTAATTTGGTTAGTATGTCAGCACACTTGTTACCTTCTCTTAAAATGTGCCTAATTTTAATAAAAAAAATACATTTCAAAAAATTTCTAATAGCAACAATCAAATTGGAATAAGGATGGTTACAACTTTAAATGTTCAACACCAGCTGTAAAGCATTCTTAAAGTCGATTTCAATCCAAATTACTTGGATATTCTTTTGAACTACTAGTTGAAGACCATAAAATAGGTCTTATAATTCAGCTTCTAAAGGAGAACAATATACACAAGGCCCTGATAGAAACCAACAGAAAAGTTTCCATTATTGTCTTTAATTAGACCATCATATCCAACACTTTCTATAGCTAGGGATAGTGCTCCATCAACATTAAGTTTCATGTGACCCTAGAGAAGAAGATATCTTCTATTCTGAATAAAGTTGCCCTACATCTTCTTCATGGTTTTTGCCTTACCCATGTCACAACAATTCAGATACTCAAATTCATAGCAAATTTTATGGTATAAGAAAATAGGAATAGTTGCTAAATTTTGAAAAATGGCACAATTCCTTTCTTTCCAAATATACCAAGTTACTAAACCATATAACTTGTTCCAACTAGTAAAGTTATTCACCTGAAAATTGAATAAATTACTAAGAAACCAATCAGATAAACTCATGCTAAAGAAAGAGGCTCAATTAGAAGGAAATATGAAAAAAATCCTAAACCTGTTTGGCAAACCAATAATCTCTAAGGACATGAACTATAGACTCTGGACTAGTATCACATTTAAGACAAAGAGGGGAGCTTGACATGTGTCTTATAAATCTTTCCTCATTAGTCAATAATTTGTCATTAGCCACTTTTCAGAGAAAATTAATAATCGTAGGAAGACCATCCTATTTCTAGACAAATTTAAAAATATTATGGTTTGTGGAAGGTTGCTCGATAGGGAAACTTAACAAATCATAGTCTATTTTTAGAGAGAACAAACCATTACTAGAGGAGTTCCAAAAGGCGAGGTCCTGGCCTCTATTCCTATCAAGGGATTTTACCTGCACTATGTATTCACAAACAGAGTTAGGAAAATTTTCCCTATCCTTGTCTAGTCCCATTCTTCCTTGTAAGAGAAGAAAACCACATGAGTGACTCTCTCCTCCTTTGGAATAGGCCTATTAGCATAAGAAAATAAATTATTAATATTAGGGATCCAATTATCCTCCCAGAATTTGGCTGTTAAGCCATCACCAATGACCCAATCTAAATCCTACATGAAGCTGTGTCCCAAACAATAGATATACCTTTCTATAAATGAAAGACTTTTAAGTTGTTTCCAAAGGTAAGTTTTTTGTGAAGGCTAAATTTATACTTATATAAGACTTGAACCCAGAGTTCATTGAAATTTGACTAATCTCCAAATTAATTTCATCATATAGGCTTTATTTGATAAAGAAATGTTTTTGAAACCTAGAATTCTCTTACCTTTAGTTGATACTCTATTCCAATTAATAAAATGACATTTGAGAGTCTTTAAGCAAGAGAAATAATTTGATTTTCAAAAAATGTTATTCTTAAATATACATGCTTTTAACTATTCAATTGATATTTTTATTTTTTATAAAAAAATTTGACATTTTTATTTATTATGGTCATATATATTAATTTTTAATTATACATACAATATACACATTCTGATAAAATAGATTTAATGCTGACTCAACTTTTAAAATTTTAATATTTTTTTTACTTAAATAAAATTCTTATGTTGATTTAACTAATTTTTTTTATACAATTGATTTTTTTTCTTATTTTAAAAACTTAAAACATTTCATTGTAAAAGCCGGATATGGTATTGTTAGTGTTACATAATTCTTACCCACATAAATCAGTTATTATCATTTTTTTCCTTTTTCTTTTCTCGTATTTGTTATTTTTTATGTATTAAAGCCAATGGTTCATGAACCAAATCCGTGCTTGAGGTTGAGAGAAAAATCATGCGACTTAAACGTATATTCTTGGTATAAAAAAAGAAAAAGAAACTAACAGTGTATCAATTTAATTTGTGTTTTTAATTGACATTTTTTAATATTACAAAAATATCATCACATTTTCATTATATTTCCAATTCTTAAAATCAATTTTATTAAAGGAAGAAACAATTAATTTTTCTTTACACTGTTTAAGAAAAAACAATAAAATAAATTGTTTCTTATTAAGCCTTTCTTTTTAATATTTTCTTTACTTATTTTTGCTCCAAAAAAGTGAAGAAAAGAGAGTTTCATTGCATTGAATTTCACATACACCAATTGCCGAAGACTTGGGGTCCCTCGTAGGTATCAATTTGATCTTGGCCCATTGCGCATGTTAAATTCATTTAGGGAGGACTCTAAAGTTTAGAAATAGCCATTTTTTAAGGTTTATCTAAGTATCTAACGTTTCATTGTATCAAAGAATTAGCTGGCCCGAATTGAACCAACTTGATTCATTATGTGTTATATGACCCGCTCATGTGACCTATAAATAACTATGGTGATATCTTTTAACACCCAGATCTCAAAATTTAATTTCAAAAATTACTTTTAAAATTTAATTGCTAGAACTAATTTATATTCTATAAATTTTATTTGTGAAAGATAAAAAGATTAATACGTTTAAAAAAGTATACAAAGACATTTCCATAATTGAATATTGCCATTATTTTTAAGGTTTTTGTTTTTTGTGAGACGGGCTACTCCAACAAAATAAAATAACTTGTTCAACCAAAATGTCTGATGCTGTTTGGACCCCAAAAAATTACTGTTTATTACACTAGTTACACATTTCCCCATGTTAAAGTGACAAAAAGAAGAAAAAGCCATGTTAAATTCCTGAATGTTGTGAACTGCAAGTTCTTTCTACGCAGAGCACCAAAGGCATCACTTTCCTTGTTTAAGGTGCCAAACAAAAAATAATCAAATAATAAAATTGTGCAAATATAAAGTGATGTGTTTATAAATGTGTATAGATAATATTTTTTAGTATGAAGTTATTTTATTTTTCTACAATAACGCATCTAGATGGATCTATGATGTCATATTTTAAAAGAAATGAACAAAAACAACTAAAGTTTTTTAATTTGATTAATAGTAATTATCATTATTTTGATTTTTGTTAAACACCGACACTAGGCCAAGTTTTTTTTTTTTTTTTTTATGTATTTGAATATGATATTGATTATTGATTTTTAATTCTTTAATTCTCTACTTGCACTGTATATGTACAAAGAGAGATGTTAATTTAATGCATATTAATAAAGTACTGAATAATTTTAAATTTAATTATTTTATAAAAAAATTTCTAATGAAAATTTTTTTAAGTTTAGAAATTTTTTGAAGGATGTAAATATTTTTACTTGCATTTGTGTAACGTAATACATTTTTCTCTTTTCTCAATCTATACATGAAATCACTCACGTGTCACATAAATTCTTAAATGTGTGACTAGGAAGTAAATTATGACAGTTTACTATTTTGATCTTATATATTAAATTATAATTTTAATATCATAAAGACAGATTATTTGCTTGGTCTTATATCTTAATTTAAATTGGTGCCTGTTAAAATCTATGGTGAGACTGTTAACCAGAACAACTTTACTGGGTAGCTGATTTAGTAACTTGAGCTGAAACAAACTTTTGCAGAGCATGAGGAAGCCAAAGCTATTCTGGGTCTCAGCTGGAGCTCCTCTTGTGTCTGTCATCATCTCTACCATCCTTGCATTTGTAATCAAGGCTCAACATCATGGCATCAGTGTGGTAATTAACTCTACCCTCCTAATGCTTCTGTGATCATTATCAGTGCATTTTATGTGTCAAAGGTTACTATGAGTTTATTTAATAAATATTTATTAACTAAACCAATGTACTGATGTGCTTGATAGATTGGCAAATTGCAACAAGGAGTAAATCCTCCTTCTGCAAATATGTTACTCTTTCAAGGAACTCATCTAGGTCTAGTCATGAAAACTGGCATTATCACTGGCATTTTATCCCTCACGGTAAGTCTCACCCGTTTCCTCTTTTCTGTTTTTCCCCACATTTCTATTTTTATCTTTGTCTGTTTTACTTTAGTGGTATATTTGGAAGCATCTGAAATAATTTTTAAGTCATGCACAAAAAGAATCATTACATCAATCCAGGGTGTATATAATTAGTTTTTAGTGCATGTTTAGTTTGAAGAAATAATTTATCACCTTTTCCAGCTTCTAAGAGAGCTTTAAAAGGTAAGGATTATTTCTTCAGCAATTCTAAGCATGTACTTTAGGTGCATTTGGATATACTCTTCTTAAATGATGGTTTATGCCCTAACTTCAATGATAAAACTTATTAAAATAAGCTGAAACAGCTTATTATGATAAGAAATATCGATATGCTTATTTTAATAGACTTTTTAAATAATAAATTGTTTTTAGTATATTCTAATAAATTTTATCATTAAATTTAAGATGTAAGTAATTATTATAAAAAGTGCTTATTAAATAAGTATTGATACAATGCTCCCAAAAAGAGCTCACTAGAGAAGTAACTTATTTTCTCAAGCTATTTCCACATACTGCTTAGAAGTTAGTGGATCCCTTAAGCCTTGATAAATATTAATGGATAAAGAGTGGCCATTTGAAACAGGAAGGAATTGCAGTGGGAAGGACATTTGCGGGTCTCAGAAACTACAAAATTGATGGAAACAAGGAAATGATAGCAATTGGGTTCATGAATGTGGTTGGCTCCACCACATCCTGCTATGTCACAACAGGTTCATGTCCGTAGCCTAAAACCATTTAGATTAGTGATGCATGAGTATGACAAAAGGTGTCAAAAACACAGTTAACTCATTTACACTATGAATTTCAGGATCTTTCTCTCGCTCAGCTGTGAATCATAACGCAGGTGCAAAAACAGCAATGTCAAACGTAGTAATGTCTGTGACAGTCTTGCTGACACTCCTGTTTGTGATGCCATTATTTCAATACACTCCTAATGTTATATTGGGCGCAATCATAATAACAGCAGTGATTGGCCTCATTGACATCCCTGCTGCTTATCTCATTTGGAAGATAGACAAATTTGATTTCGTTGTGATGTTGACTGCATTCTTTGGTGTGGTTTTCATCTCTGTCCAGTTCGGCCTTGCTGTTGCAGTAAGTTCACGTGTTATGCAATATAACTTATAACTAATGCTTACCTAGCAAACATCATAGTATTTGGAAAATGTTAACATTGGCCCTTAGAATTGATTTTAAGCAATAAAAGTGGTAAGTTTTTACTAAGAAAGAAAGAATTTATTCCATCTAAAATATAAAATTATAACAAATGTTATCTTTTTCTATTAAAATAACTTACTATTGCTGAAAATTGGTCGTAATTTTGAAATAAACAATCGTATTTTTTTATGTACTTGCCATTATGTTTGGTAGCTGCTTCACTATTTGTTCTGTTCCTTAACCCTGGAAGGAGATGAGGACTGTTTTGGGGAAAGTCTTCAGCTTTAGGACTTGGTGAAACAAAGGGGATTTCTTCCAAGAAACACTCCCATGCTTAAGTTAGTAAGCCCTCTGTTGATCAAGGTTAGGTGCATGAATCACGTTGATTGATGGAACAAGTCCTGAGAGAGCTCGTCTAGGGGGCGCTGAGTCTATGATGACAGCAGTTCCAGATGTTTGACTGCGGTCAATTGTGTCGACTTTGGATCATTATTTTAGTTTTTCAATACGATGATCTTGAAAAAGAATAGAACTAACACACTCTTGAACACAATTTACTATAGGCTGAAATATATTGGGACTTATAAGATGATGTCAGTCTCACTCCCTATGAAATGAGTCTCACTTTATCTCAACGAACAGTTTAGAGTATGTAAGAGATTATTTTACTTGAACTCGTCCGGTCTTAATTCCCTTAAATTCATGTCACAAGCTAGGTAGTCTTTGGCAACTAAAGACCCTTTTTATCTTGTATAAATCATATTTCTGCATTTTAGAATTTAGACAATGGAATGACTAAAGTTTAGAGAAATTAAGAGCTCTTCTTTTTTTTTTGTTTAACATTCTAAGGTCTATTTGATTAATCGTTATGATTGACAAGGGAGATGTTAATCTCGTTGACCAGGTAGCCTTGTCAATTTTGAGGATCCTCCTGCAAATTACAAGGCCTAAAACAGTAATGTTGGGGAACATACCAGCGACAAACATATATAGAAATCTTCATCATTATAAGGAAGCTACAAGAACACCTGGTTTTCTTATTTTAAGTATAGAGGCTCCCATCAATTTTGCAAACATCACATATCTCAATGAAAGGTTGGTTTCATCTTTACAAATTTTATGAAGTTTATGAAAGTTTTCTAGCGGCATTGATTATTGCATCCTCTGTTATTTAGCAATTTGCATTTATTATTAGGATATTGCGATGGGTAGAAGAAGAAGAAGCCACCATCAAGGAAAGATTATGCCTTCAATTTGTGATTCTGGAAATGTCAGGTAACACATTGTCAGTTTTCAAAACTGTAAAATTGGAATTCAGAAAATGTATTATCTTGATTTCTTGTGGATCATGTAATCTCTATTTCTACTGTTTTTAAATTTACATAATTTACTTCAGTTTCAAAGTTGCTGAAAATCTTTCTTTAGATACACATTTTCTGCTTATATACGTATAACTTGTTATTGGATTATTGAACCTGGATAAGTCAATAAGATATGCTACTAAGACCATATAGATGACCAAATTCTTGCTGTGACACGTGGGACTTGTCATCTTCTCTCTACAATAGACAAGCCACTAAGTTCCATCTAGCTCTTCTTGTTCTAACTAGTCAGGGTTGAGGGAAACTATACTTGGAAGCATTTTCATCCAATGAGGGAGGTTTGAGTTAATTGTTCTATAGATATCTTTATCGAGTATGTTACAAGACATGCTTCATTAGTGTCTATTGTCATCCTCACGTGTTTATTGTCACTTATATCTAATAAATTTTTATGTAAAATACTCATTATTAATATGGTTATAATAGAAGAGAAGTATTTTAAACAAAAATTATTTAATGGAAGTGACAATAAATACTTAAGGGTGACAATAAACACTCCCTGCAATGGGATACGCATTCAATCATAATATATATATCAACCATGTGATCTTTGAGATTTTCAGCTGTGAGCGCTATAGACACAAGCGGAGTCTCACTTTTCAAGGAGTTGAAAACAGCATTGATATTGAAGAGTGTTGAGGCAAGAATACTATACTCATGACTTTATTTACACATCATGACTAATAGGAACCAAATCTAAACTGTGACTAAATGGAAAGAGTTGTGACGTGTGACAGCTTGTGTTGGTGAATCCTCTAGCTGAGGTCATAGAAAAGCTGAAAAAAGCAGATGAAGCTAATGATTTCATTCGAGCAGAATACCTTTTCTTAACAGTTGGAGAGGCTGTAACTTCACTTTCGTTAGCAATGAAGGGCCAATCATCAACCATGGAAGAAGAGGTACAGACAATTGTGACTGAGTACTAATTAGTTACTTTAGATAGCAGGAAAAAGAAAACAAGAAAAATGTTAAAAAGATGCAGCAGCAGCAGAGTAGATTAGAGTTGGTATAAACTAACGAATGTAACTTGTTTAGAAAACTCAGTTCCTAGTTGATTTTTTAGGCATTCAAGTTGATTTCCATGTGCTTTTCAGCACATCTGGCTCAACAAAACTACTTGTGAATATTTGATGTATAGAATAAAACCTCAGAAAAGTTCGGCAATTCAAAGTAATTCACACTGCGATGCATATAACATCTGCATCTAACTACCATTATACTATGGACCATCAGCCTATATCTTCCTTATAACGTCAATATTCTTATTCTCGAGATTTAGTTCGTGTCTTGATTATCTTTTAAATAGTTCTAAATCTATTTATTTTTTATTTTTATAATTTTTAATTAATAAATGAAGAAAGTATTAAATATTTTTTATGTTTTTAAGATAAAATATACATGTCTTTTTTTTATTAATCTTTATTTTATATAGTAGAAAAATTATTAGAAAAGGCCATATCATTCTAATTTGTCACATTTGAAGTTGTCTACAGACTATTTAAGAAAATAAAATTGATTATATATAAGGTTAAATTGATTTCTAGAAATTTGTTTTTAGAATAAGTTCCTACTAATATACAAGGCAACTACATAATCTATAATTAAAAGTTAAATTAGTATATTGGTCCTTAACTCTTGATTTTGTTTCAATTTGTTTCTTTATTTTCTTTTTTTTGTTTATTTTAGTTCTTGAATTTATAGAATTGTTTCAAATAATTTTTATTTTATAAAAAAATATTAACTCAATTAAAAAATTATTATTCACTTTCTTTTTTTAATGAATTTTGACAAAAATATAATACATTCTAATAAATTTTTTAATTGCTTCTTTTGCTTCTCATTTCTCTTCCTCATTTTCTTCTTCTTCTTGCCCTTCATCCATGTCTCTCTACTCGTTTTTCTACTATTTTTATAAAGAACATCATTAATAGAAAGTGATGAAATAGAATAAACAATATCAAGATCATGAAATTGTGTTTGAGACCTATTAGCCAAAAAATTGATATTTTTTTGCGGTAAATGTTTAAAGAATCAATGGAGATGGCTTACCAACTTCATTTTTGAGCTAGTGAAAGGTCATTCCTGATGTTCCATCTTGTCAAGTGTTCAAACTGACACCACCACCTAAGTCAAAAGCCGCTAATTAGCTAGCCACTCTAAAGTCGATACTAAAAACCTTGTCATATGACAAAAAATTGTTTGTTTTTCTTCCTCTTATCTATCATGTACACTTCTTCCCCCGTAAAATAATATGAAAGAAGGATGGAAAATTTTGCCTTATGATTATTCAAAAACTAATACACAATATATATAAGGATAGATATCTATAATTAATGATTCTACTTCTATAATTCAGATATTCACTCCCCCTCAAGTTGGAGAGTGAATATCAAAAACACCCAACTTGGACTTCACTGTAGAGAAAACTTCTCTCTCTAGTGGTTTAGTGAACACATCAACAAGTTGCTCAGTTGAAAGTACACATTCAATTGTTACTGAACCATCTTGAATCTTGTCACGAATAAAGTGACAATCTATTTCTATGTGTTGAGTTCTTTAATGAAATATAGGGTTGGCTGCAATATAAAGTGCTACTTTGTTGTGATAGTATAATAATGCTAGCTTTGAGTGTAATATATGTATATCATTCAATAGTAATTGCGACCAAGATAACTCATAAAAAGCATTGGCATAACTATATATTCAACTTCCCTTGAGGATAGAGAAACAATCCTTTGCCTTTTTGTTCACTAAGAAATAAGAAAGGATCCCAAACAAACACAATAACCTATTGTTGATTTTCTAAAAACTGGACACCTTCCCCAATTAGAATTGTAAAAAACACATAAAGATAAATCATTTTAGAAAAGAAAAATTAAACCTTGACTCGCATTGCACTTTAGATATTGTAAAATACGCACTGTAGCTTCCATATGAGGCTTGCGTGGGCATGAATTTACCTGCTCAATATGTGCACCGAGTAAGTGATATTCGAATGAGTAATGGTCAAATAAATTAAGCATCCTACAAGCCACCTATATAAGGATGGGTCTTTCAATATTTCTCCTTGATACAAATTAATTGAAGTATTATGAGCTAGGATCTTGTTATAAGAAAGTGTAATTAAGAAGTAGTTAATTTCACTATTTTTGATATTTTAGGTAACCTTCCAAATTAAGAAGGTAGTGGGTGTCTATGTCATAACGAACTTCTATAAATAGTAACTGTAATGAACAATTGTCATATTATTCAAATTGTAAATCAAACTCTTGTAATCTTCTTGTTCTCAAATAATAAAATTAATTGGGATCATTTCTATTCTATATGATTCCCTTTCTTTCATAGTTATTCGAATTGTCATCATTCCTAGAGCTATCATCACTTTTATTAGTGGTATCAACCTTTCCTTCCAACAGCCACGATTCCAATGGCAAAATTCACACATGGACAAGCATCAATGAAATATTTGAAAGAGAAATTAAAAAATAAACTCGCAGTCATATTAGAGGCGTGACTAATGGAAATTGTTGGGAATATGCAACAAACATTTGGCAAATCATTGAAGAGCAATGTGCAAGAAATGTTCAAGACTTTAGCAAATTCAAAAGCACATTCTCTACCACAACAAAGTCCACCAAGAATTAAAAGAAATGCACACAGTATTCTTGCGATACACATTTGGCGCTCATTAAAAAATATTCAACAAGGAAAATGTGAATCAATGGATCTATCAGTGTGAGACTTATTTCTTGATCAGTGGAATACCCAAGGATGTGAAGGTTAAACTTGCCACTGTTCATTTGGAGGGAAAAGCATTACAATGGCATATGACTTTGGCAAAATTAGTGCACATGGAATCTCTTTCATCGTCAAAAGATTTGGGGACGTGTGCAATGATCCCATGGATGATTTGATAAGGATTAGACAAAAAAGATTTGTGACAAAATATCATGAAGAGTTTGATACAATCATTACTCGTTTGGAGTTATCAAAGGAGTATACTCTTAGTTGTTTCTTAATAGGCTTGAAGCAGGAGGTTCAGATGATGGTTAGAATGTTCCAACCACAAACTATTCGAAAAACATTTGCTTTAGCTAAGATATATGAAATAGCAAGCCCATAAATCACTACAATAATTCCTTTCAGAAGCTCACCAAGAATCCTTTGAATACCAAACCCTTGATGGCCACCAAACTAGCAAGTACCATGGATTCGAGTAATGGTTCTAATAAAACATCTTTTTCTGCACCAAGAAAATTAACTCTTGCATATATAAGTGAATGAAGATCCAAGGGTTTATGCTATTTCTGTGATAAAATATTCACCCCATAACATAGCTTGACAAACAAGAAACTGCGTAGATGATACAACTGAGAATTCCTTGAGTCACTTAAGAAAAATGAGGAAAAAACTAGGAAATTAATAGAACCATATATCTTAGTCAATCCTTGATTGGGGTAGCAAGTTTTAGGATCATGAGGACTAGGATTAGGGGTAACCACAGAAAAAAAAATAAAATCCTCTCCACATCATGATAGATAGTGGAAACACACAATTTCTTGGATGTACACATTGCCAAGAAATTAGGGTGCAAAATTGAGGATTTTGACTCTCTTAATGTTTCAGTGGGAGATGGTACTAATATAACAATATCTTCAATAGTAAGAAATTTTGTGTGAATTATCCAACAAACAAGTTTTACTTTTGATATGATGTTGATTTCACTGCGGTGTTGTGACTTACTCCTTGGAATTAATTGGCTAGTGACATCAAGGGACATCACATGAAATTTTGACAATTTAACTATGGACTTCTATGTGCAACGTCGAAGATATGTCTCAAGGGGTGCTTCTTCAACAAGAATCAAAATAATCAATAGAAAACAACTTGGTAACACCTTGGAAAGTGAGGTTCATTTGTCCCTTTTATAGCTTCGTGAGGAGGAAGAAAGCTTATTGCACTCCCTACAGCTCATGCTAACCAACCTATGCTACCTATCACAATTGATAAGTTTTTGTTCGAATATGAAGATGTATTCCAATAACCTACCACATTACCTCTTTCAAGGCCAGGACATGATCATAAGATACCTTTGGTGCAAGGTGCAGATCCTGTGAACAAAAGGCCCTACAGATATGCTAAACACAAAAAAGATACAATAAATAAGTTAATAAAGGTGTTTTTGCAATCTAGTATAATTCAAAATAGTAATAGCCCTTATGCTAGCCCAGTGGTGTTGGTGGAAAAGAAAAATGATTCTTGGAGGCTGTGTAGACTATAGAACCTAAATATGCATACTGTAAAGGATATGTTCCCAATTCTCTTAATTAATGATTTGCTTGATAAGCTTTATGGATCAACCATATTCTTTAAAATGGACATGAGGTCAGGTTATAACCAAGTGAGAATGGATCTAATTGACATCCACAAAACTTCCTTTAAAACACACGATGAGCATTATGAGTACTTAGTAATGTCATTTGGTCTCACCAATACATCTGCCATTTTTCAGGGCCTTATTTTTAGATATTTTAATAATTTTTGAAGAATTTTTTATTAATATTTTTTATGACTAATATATATTAGAAGCTTAGAGGACCATATTTCTCACCTTCGACAGGTTTTGAGAACTTTGAGGCACACATTTAACATAATAAATCATAGGCCGTAAGCTCCTTCTCATCTTACCTATAGCTTTTTCTTGCCTTTTCTCACCCAATACTAGTTCTTCTTTTCTTTTCTTTCTTCTTAATAGTCCTATATAGGGAGTAGGCGAACCTTTTCACATAAACTTCCTAATTGCAAGACCATTCAAGTGCTATTTTGCAATACCTAAAGTGGAATATCTTGGACATTTCATTTTCAAGGAAATAGTTCCTACAAATCTTGTAAAGGTAGCCATTGTCCAACAATGGCCATTACCAAG